CCCGCCCCCCAACAAAAAAGCACCTGCCGCAGAGAGTAAATATATACCTTCAGTGGAGGTGTTTCTTCTTGGGGGTAAGAGCGTTTCTGACCACGAAATTTGATAGACGTAAGTGCAACACAGTGAGTTTGTCTGAACTGTTGATCTGGTTATGTGCTGATGTTTGATGTGGGGGTTTCATCAAGACTATCGGTGGCATTTGTAGGGGAAGTGTTTCATTGATTGGCCTTAGTTTGCGGGTCGTTGTGACAATTGTCCAATAAGTCATACAGTTATTGATCACACATTAGGGTAAACAATAGTATCTACATGCTTTCTGAATTAAAAGAAAGAGAGAAACATCTTTGGGGCCTACACTTTTCAGTGTTTGCTATTGTACGACCGTATGAGTACACGCGACCTGAGATACTGTCAAGGTGCTCAAGCCGAAGCTGGTACCAGATGAGATTGGTTATAACCTAAGGACTCTTTACTAGCAGAGCATTCTAATCATCATGTCACCTTAGCTCATTACAAAATTTGAGAAAAAATATTTGTTATTTGTCGTTTTCAAAAGGTCTCAAAGATGATTAAAACATGGTTTATCTCCTTGTTTCTGGAAGAGAAGCCTTGTTATTACTGTTCTAGGTGAACTCAGGTTCAGATTCCAAAGTGAATTCTCCGATCTCATGTGCACATTCATATTTGCATACGTGTATACGTAGAAAGTATCGTTCACTCGTCCCAACACTGAATGGGCGCTGATTTGGCGCGGTTCATAGATCATAATTACTGCCAGATAGACCCTCCATTAGGCCACTAAGCCAAGTGTAGTTCAGATTTCATCTTGTCGAAGCTATAAGTGAAGATTGCTAATTGAAATCGTCATATATTTTGGTAAATGAGCCCGAGGTCAATGCGTAAACATTTTGATCTTGATCTAACATGACTGCTGTAGTGAAGATATCTGTCGCAATATCTTATGAAAATGCTTCTTGAAAAGTAGATTTTTTCTTTAGAAGTTTATTTCTGGTTGGAGTGCTGTATTTAGCTTTGTGTGTTCTATCACTGGGCATTTTTGTGTATTTCACAAAATTTGGTAGAATATAAAGGTTGTTTGTTTGTAACTCAAAGTATTTATTACTGTGATGTACACTTGACCACATATAGGTTAGTTGCTTTCAAGCTGCCTAAACATAAACAAGAGTAGTCGCATTAATCAGTACTCGGACCCACAATTCTGTTGTTCATTGATATTCTGCAGGTGACTGATAGGAAGTGATTTCTTATCATCCAGTGCAATCTTGTTAGCTTCACATCTGACTCACATTGCTTATATGCATTCCTATCTATTTGACTTGTGTTGTGATCATTAGTTGTCATCCCCTTGCTTGATCGCATTGTTTATACTACCCTGTTGGTGGATTTCTCAGTGCTGGCCTAATGTTTTACACGGACTTATGTTTTTGTGCAGTTCGGGCAGCACATCCCAACCGAACAGTTTGAATTCCAGTTCTATGAACCGGACTGGCACCGATATGCATCCCTCTCACACAACCTCTGCAGCCACTACCACCATGGCTATGCGGACACCGCATCCGATGGAAATATACTCCCAGAAATACCCGGTGGAGCGCTCTGCGTTGCAAAACAGACCAACCACACAGCCTACCTCAACCGAATTCCGTCCTTCTTCTAGACCGCGTGAAACGGTAATCTCATTGTATCCGTTTGCTCGAAATCAAATCGAAGAAATGTCTTTTGAAGCTAATGAGATTTTGGAAGTTATCGATAAACCTGCAGATGACCCTGAATGGTGGCGTTGCCGTAATGCGCGTGGAGAGATTGGACTTGTGCCCCGCAATCATGTACGCTTGCTTCCCGACACTGCTTCCGTGCACTCAACGGTGTCTCCCTGCTCCTCTACCACTACTGCGGTTCCTCCGAACCAGCGCCAACCAATGGCTCAGTCTAATGACAGAGAGTGGTTTGGAGCCGTCTCACATGCACCGCCGTCTGCAAATGTCACCCGTGGGGAAATCCAACGTAGCGATGGTGGTCATGATCCACGACTCACCTTTGCACTGCGTTCCGCTACCGCTGGACCTCATATTGATCAACCATGGTGTTGGGGTGCCATCTCTCGCGCAGAGTGCGAATCTATGTTGAATCAGTTTTCCAAACCCGGAGAATTTATCATACGAGATAGTGAATCACATGTGAGTCCACGTTTCTTATGTTTCAAACATTCCACTGATCGCACAATTATCGTGTTTTTCTTGTGGTTTGTTTGTGCCGCACATGCATCGAGCATCATCATTTTCTTTGGTTAAACAGGCTGATTCAGAAACCGAGAGAATAAGTTATTGCATTCAGAACTCCCAGTACTCATTGGATTGTTGTATGTACCATTTGATCCAGAAAGAATTTTTAGTGTGAATATTCCCAATGTGTGGCCCATGTGACCTTTCAAGACAGCGCCATTTCCAATTTCTGCGTTTGTTAACCATGAATCTTCTGTTTTCCGCTTACTCTGATTGTCCGCGATTAACATTCGTGGAAGGTAGTGTGGTTCTTGATACCCTACCTGTGAATGCACTCGGCAGCTTTAGGCTCCTCCTATCATTTTCTCGGAATCTGTGTTTATCACTTTCGTCGTGCAGGCGGATGTCCCACTTGTAGGCTTAACTGGTATTTGTGGAGTGTGCGTCATGCAGCTGGCATCATGATAATCCGGCAATTTTGCAGTCTTGTCCACTTCCGAGTAACTTGAACTTAACCGTTATTCCTTTTCAGTGAGTATTTGTAGTTGGTAAAATTAGCCTCAACCCACCTTGAATTTTTTTATGCTCGCAAACTGATCGACAAACTGTATGCTGACTGGTTTTTATGCAGCTAAATCCCTTGTATCACTACAATTTTGTCTTCTGGATATTGTTTGACCTCAGTCTTACTTGCACTTGTTTTATAAGTTTGTAGGTCATTCTAAATATCGTTTATGCTTCTGTGTTCTGTTGGCAGCCTGGTGATTGGACCATTACAATCAACGCCGGTAGCAAAACCCGAAATTTTAAAGTCCACGTGGAACGTGGCCAATATCACATAGGTCAGAAAGTTTTCTCCAGTGTCGAAGAACTGATCGAACACTACCGCAGCCATCCGATTTTCAAAAACGACCAGGAAAAACACTATTTAATCCAACCGTTTGTTCATCCGGGTCGTTCGGAGGGCAAAAGGTTATTAAATTCGGCTAACGCAATGCATCCGTCCCCCTATTTTCCTCCGGGTCAGGCTGTTGGTATGCAACCACGCTATTCTTAAAGACGTTTAATCAGGTTTATAGGCTTTAACTTGAAGGTGAATATTTTGCTCATGATTGGGTAGACCTTATCCGTTGGTCGTTGTTGGTGACTCATGAATAACAAGCTGACAATCAGTCATTTTACTTTCATGCGCGTTTGATTCTCTGTTTTTTTTTTTTTACCGTGCAGTCATTCTGTTGGTTGCCAGGCTTATCAACGTCTTTGAGCTGAGCTTTACTGCCGAATCTTGTACCTGCTCCGGTTTTCGTTTCTTAACCTTCCAGCGCTCAATGTTGTGCTTTGTCCTTTCAAACTCGGTGTTACTTTTTGCGTTTTGCGCCTCAAATTGTACCTATTCAACTAAGTTTTCAGTCGAGTTCCAGCTGCTCCCAGTGGTGTTCGATCACCGTCCTGCTATTCCCCACTATGCGAAGGTGTCTTCCCTTTCGGTCCGTTTCTTCCTTCAGTCCTTCCCTTAACACTGGCCCCTATGTAACAGTTTGCATATGTTCTTTCCGTTTATTTGCTCCCTTACCGCCTGCCTCGCGCAAGCTTGCCACGTTTGCTTCTGTTTATGCAGCTGCTCTTTGTGCCTTTGTCCACTCTCGTTGGCGCCT